GCACTAGGAATTGTCTGTTCTTCCTGTCGATTTCTCCTGCAGGCAGCGCTGCCTAACTGCTACACCATGTGCTGGACACAGATGGCCTCCACCTGAGCGGCCACCCAGTGAGTCGCAAACCCACACTCTGTATGAAGAAGGTCTGGCACAGAGGGCCTGGGCCTTGCACCCTGTTTGCTGAAGGATGGGGCTGGGCTGGAGTGGAGCCAGTCCACCTGCCCAGCAGCGACTCCCATGCCATGACTTCCTCTCTGTTCCACTGTTAGTGCCCCGTGACTGGGCGGAGACTATTGCAGGAGTTTCCTGGGCTGGACACCCCTGGCCGCACGAGAGCCAGGCCACCTCTGACTCAGAGCGGGCCCTCTGCTTCTCTCTTGAATCACTTCTAATGAACAGATGTGTGTGTACTTTTAAAAGATCAGAAGGTGGGCTCATGAAAGAAAATCCCCACGCTCCCTCAGCCATGATGCTCAACTACCCTTCAGCTCTTGGTGATTTCAAGTGTTTTGTGCAGGTGCAGGCCTGTGGGTCTGTGTGGCCACAGGAGAGGCAGCGTGCTGCGGTGTCCATGGCATGCTCCTGTCCACAGGTGCTCTCTGGGGAGCAGAGCCAGGGTTGCTTCCTGTGCCTGAGAGCCTGTGCGGAGCCTGGCAGACTGTGGCACTGGAAGCCCCTTTGTGACCGGCACGGCTGGCTGTCCGGTAGCTCTGTGTTGTGCCAGTACCTGTCCCTGGAGGGTCTCGCAGCTGCCAAAGCTTGGAGTGGTGTCTCTGTTCAGCCCTCACATGTGGGGTCCCTCTGGAAGGTGCAGTGCTGGGCCCTGCCTAGGTCCCACCTGAGGACTGGCACTGGCCTTTGGCCTCCTGCACTCAACCACAATGAGGCCTGGGCACGCCCCAGGGACTGAATCTTTGCCCTCTGATCCCCTTTTCTGTTGCTGTTCCCATGTGTCTTACCTGGAGTCCCAGCAGGTCTCAGTCATGGTGACTGGGTGTCCTTAGAACACCTCTCCTTCAGTGAGAAGGTCAGCTTCCTCTAGGCCCAGGGCCACATGGTCATAGTTTTTACAGGAAGGGGACCTTTTAACTTCAGTGTAGGAAGGGTCATGTGCCTAGACCTATAGGCCTAGTGGGCAGTGTCCCCCTCCAGGTGGCCCAGGTCAGTCATCCACACGGAAGGGTTGTGGGGGTTGTTGCACACAAAGGCACATCACAGGCTGTGGGGGTATCAGGCCTCCCATGGACTGATCCTGTGCCCCTGGGCCATGCACACCCTGCCCTGATAGCTGGCATGGGTTATCCCCGCGCTGGGCGGGGAGGATGAGGGTGGGCCTCTTGTTTTATGTGCTCAGCAATTGATGCCCAAGTCAGTTATTCGGGAATATTTTAAAGTTAATATGGCTTATTTAGCGTCTGAGGTTGGAATTTGAAGGTCTAGTCCAGAGGGGTTAAAGGACACTGTCCTCCACATCTCTTAGTGTATCCTCCCAGGAGTTACAGGTGCAGGGTGGGTGCATGGGCAGTGTGGCAGCCCCAGCCCAGTCACCACCTGTAATGGCGTCTCCTCCCCCAGACATTTGCCTCCTCCCTGCCATGACCAGGCGCTTCTGTGGGAGAGCAGGATGCTGTCCCTGCCTCCTCAGTGCTCTGCTCCGTGAGACCGTGATTTCATGGTAAGCCTGTTTGCTGGGTGGCTCGGCATCCTCTGTGGACAGTAGTTGGTTGGAAGCTTGCGGCTGCCATGGCTCCTGCCACGGTGGCTCATCCATCACTAGTGGTCACGTGCTGATTTCACGATAGGAGCCCCAATGCGCAGCCCAAGGGGGGCTCTCGTCACCCCTTTTACAGGTAACTGAGGCACAGCCAGTGAGAGACCTGCCCAGGGCGTGTGGCTTGTGCAGGGTGGGTTTGCATCCTGGTCCTTGTGCACCAGCCAGTGGGTGCCCAGTTGGCCCTTGGTGGTTCCTGGGGCACGATGTTCACCTTTCTGTGATGTTCGCTGACCTCCACTGAGCGCCTCATGCCATTTGGGCGGCATAGGGACACAGGGGCCTGCCGATACAGTGGAGGAAGCGTGTCCTCTGCAACAGGTGAGCTCATGGGGGCCGTGTCTGTGAGGAGCTGTCTGGTGTGGAGCTGGGGCTTGGGTGGTGCCCACTGGTGTCTCATCTGTGATCTCTGCCCATCCTGCCACTGCCCGTGATTACAGAACCCGCGTCACCACGTTGTCCTTCCTGAAAGGGCCTGTGTGCCGAGGTGATCACATGGTGTAGATGGCGCTGTGACGAGTTTGACTCTGGAAAAATAAAATCCTTTTGGCAGCAAAGAGCCGAAGCCATGAACGTCATTTGCTCTTTACCAAGTCCCTCGGACACAGAGGCTGGGAAGCGGCTGCAGGCCGGCCTGCCTTGTTTTCCTTCAGCATCACAGGTGGGAGCAAAGCCTTCCCTGAACATTGACAGCCACCAAGGGGGTCGGTGTTGATTATGGAGAAGAATTGACGGGAAAGTGCCACCTGTAGTCTTTGGACCAGGCCCCTGGAGGATTCCCCGCAGTCCTGTTCCTGGCCACGCAGTGCGGGGTGGTCCAGGCGAGCTGCACCCTCGTCACATGCACAGGCAGTGGCTCTGTGAGTTATGGACCCGCTACCTGCATGAGGTGGGTAATGCAGAATAGCGCAGGGCTAATAAATGTGCCATGTTACCCAGATTGGAGGTGCTGCTGCTTGGCGCATAAATAAGACAAGCCTTTTAAAAGAGATCTGTATTTAAGGATGTGTTTGTCTGTGTTCTCTGCCTGCTGTAAAGGTCACCCGGATAGATTTTTCCTTCCTTAGCATCACAGGCCGTGAGGAACCGGGCGTTTCTATTCTCCCTCCATCCAGCGAACCTGGGGGACTAAATTAGATTCTGAAATTGAGTGTGCAGTGGAGTGGGTAAGCCGCCGTGATGGGAGGGCACTGCTTCTCACCTTGCGAGTAGCGAGGTCATGATAATACGGAGCGAAGTGGATTAAAAATAAAACCAAAGGTATTTATTTATGACCTGCTCGGAATCGGATTGGCATCCGTGTAAGTTGCATCTAATGGTGAAAGACAGCAGATTGATGTTGATGTGTCCCTGAGGACATATTGCCGGTGAAATTTGCTCTGTGAATTCAATTTAAAGGCCCATAGAAAGTATCCAAAATGCAAAGGAAATGGGGGGAATTGGCACCCAGCCATAGCAAAACGACAATTAGAAGAGCGTCCTAGCACATAGCCCTCATGGTGTGTGACTGCTCAGGGACAGCCAGGGCCCTACTTCACCCAGGGTGGGGCCAGTGGTGGCTGGTCACAAGGGCAGCTGGGACTGTGCCAGGCCCTGCACCAGGACAGCTCGGCTTGTCTTGATCTTGCCCATGAGGAGATAGCGCCAGCCTCACTTCTAAAGGAGAACAAGGGTCAGGGGCACATGCCGTTGACGGGGACCACACAGAAGGGAGGGAGTGCACTTCCGGGCCAGCCAGTGGCTGCAGCACCTGCCTTGTGCCAACCTTGCAGGGTCCCAGAGGCTACCTCAGGTTGGGCATGAGCCTCACTGGGCTGAACCTTTTATTGACAGATGGTGTTGGCAGCCTGAGCCAGCTGCCCCCTTTGTCATTTGTCACCTGCCAGGAGCTGGGAAGGGGCTGTGCCAGCACCCTGGCGCCTCACTGCCTTCCTCACTTCCATCCTGCTTCTGGATGGGCTGGGGAGGAGCAGGTGGCCCCTGAGGGCCTCAAGTGGTCACTCTGTACGACCGGGTTCAGCAGGGCCATCAGACAGTTGAGTACCTCCCTCTGCAAGTCCGCCTGGCCTGGACCTCTTTTGAGACCCCAGTCCAGGAAGCTGTCCTGGCTACACAGCCCTCGGAGCCCCACTCCTGCCAAGCCACACTAGGTATCACAGTCCCTTGAAATCCAGCATGTCCTTAGTGAGGTCACAGATGCTCTGGATGTGGGCTGTGGGCTGCAGAAGGGGCTGTGCTGTGGGTGCACGGTGGGGGTGGGCTGAGTCTCAGCCACAGTTCCGGTTAGGAGGTCACCGTGTCTGTCACCAGTGTCTGCATCCTGGCCTCTAAACTCCGAGCTCTGGAGACATTTCCTTTGTGTCCTGTGGTTGTGTAACTATCTCCACAGCTTGTCCAGGCTGAGACATGGCTCACTGCTGGCCTGGAGTGTGAGGCTAGCAGAAGGGGCTCCGATATGGGGGACTCAGAGCAGAGCTCCTGCTTCCTGGAAGCCAGAAGGACCAAATGAGGGGCAGTGACAGGCCCTGCTGAGTGTGCAGTGTGCCCGTGTGGGTGCCCATGTGTCTGATGTGTGTGCCCGTGTGTGCCCAGGTGTGTACCCCGTGTGTGCCCCGCGAGTGCCCATGTGTGTGCCCGGCATGTGCGTGCCTGGTGCTGAGGTGCTACTGTGGCCCGTACATGTGGTCCCTGTCTGCACAGAGGAGCTAGCAGGGCTCAGAGGTGGCACTGTCTAAGCGGCTCAGCTGGATCTGGGGATGCAGCTGGCCTTGCTGACACCCGGTGCCTCCACACACCTGATTCACTTTCTTTTGCACAGGGCAGCTGTGGAGGGGAGGGCCGGGTGGTCCTGTCATGCTCCTGGCTCCACCCTGTGGTCCCTGCGCATGTGTGCTTCAGTTCTGCCTGAGCGGTACCTCTCAGACGCTCACCTGCCCGCGGGCCTCTGGAACACAGTGTGGCCCTGGGCGTGCCGATGTCTGCCTCCCTGGGACATTGTGGGATTAGGTCGGTGGCCCGCTGTATGAAGAGTGGGCAGGTGCAGCTCAGCAGCCCCTTGCAGGACAAGCTGCGAGTGAGCAGGAGAGGACTGCTGGCGTGGAGGGTGGGTGTGGATGGGAGGCTTCTGCAGTTCCCTGTGCCCACCTCGCAGCCACTGGTGGCTGCCCTTGCTCGGGCCCTGACCTGCAGCCCCTGCTGCCCTCCTCTGACCTGCCTGTCTCTCTCCCCACAGGAGCTGCTTCTCTTCCTCCAGAACCTGCCCACCGCCCGCTGGGGTGACGAGGACATCAGCCTACTGCTGGCTGAGGCCTACCGCCTCAAGTTCGTCTTTGCAGATGCCCCCAATCACTACAAGAAGTGAGCCTGGCGCCAGTGACAGTGGCCTCACTGTGCGGGCAGCGTCCTCTCCTTGCCCGGCCAGCTGAAGGCCCCTTTGAGCGGGCGCTGGCCAAGCACTGCCTTGGGGAGCACCCCTCCTACAGGCGACTTGCCAGGGTGGGCCCAGGCGTCTAGGGCTGAGGGGTGGGGCAGCCCCAGTTTTATGAGATACCAAAGAGAGCTAAGGGAGGGTCCCAGCTTTAGGGGCCAAAGATGGGTCAGGAGTCCCCCTCACCCTGTCCCTGGAGTGTCCTTGCCAAACGTCCACCCTGGAACCCTAACCTGGCAGCCAAGAGGCACCCTCTCAGGCCTGCTGTCCAGGAGCCAGGCGGAGGAAGGGGCAGCCATCTCAGACCTGCTTCATGATGCAAAAGTTCTATTCTGTTGAGTGAAAGAGAATAAAATATGGACAAGATGCTGAGCAGGACCTTGCGTCCGCTGGATCTCTGCGTGCACAGAGCCTCTGACAGCCAGCCGTGTCTGGGCTGCAGCCCCTCACCCTGGGGTGTTTCCTTTCTTGGTTTGAGCTTGGCTAGAAGCTGATGTCAGGCATTGGATCCCAGGGAGGCCATGGGGCAGAGTGAGGCCTCTCTCAATTGCCTTACTTTTCGTGTTTAATCTTCAAAAGAGATGCCGCCCCCTGCCCCCCGTACCCGATCCTGTGATGTCCCTGTCCAGTAGCCCCTGGGGGTGGGGTCTCTTCTCAGAGCTGGACAAACTGGCCTGTAACCCAGGCCTTGCGAGGGGCGCTCTTCCAAGCTGCCTGGGCTTAGTGGGCGGAGCTTCTCAGGGTCTCCTCGGCTCCCAGCAGCTCTGCTGTGCTTCCCTGGTCTGCCGTGAGTGGGCTTGACTGCTCGCTGTGCTGACCGCTCCTGGGCTCTGCACCACGCTCTCAGGACTTGCCTCCACGCATCCTCCAGGTGACAAGGACACCCCCTGGGGCACTGAGCCACGGGGAGGAGGCAACCTCAGCCTCCCTCACCCTGAGCCAGGACAGGGCCCTACCCTCAGCAACCCATGATTGCCTGCTTCTCAGATCTGTCCCTCCTTTAGGGGCAGCAGTGCCCCTGCCTATGTGCCTGGCCACTGCCTAGAGGCTGTGGGAATCCAGACGTGTGATGTGCGTGTCTTCTTGCTTCTGTTAAAATCATCTTGGAAATTAGCACACAGTACTGTGCAGAGGGGCCAGTTAGTCCTGGACCTGATGGAGGCCATTTCCACAGGATCAGGGTCCTCCCAGGCCAGCTTCAAGGGGCCTCTTCTACCTGCTCCTCTTGCAGGGGCAGGGGAGGGCTGTCCAGTTACAGGAAGAACCATCCCTGTGGCTGTGGGGAGCCCATCTTACTCAGCCAGAACCCACCCTGCACTTTCCCCTTCTGTAGCACAGAGAGCTCTGCACAACCAGAAAGCTGGGCACACACACACAAAAAAAAACCTGCCTTTCGTGGCAGGTTATTTTTCAAAGGGGAAGGGTCCTTGAAGTCAAATTCTGTCCTGTCTGTATTTCATGTATGCAAATGCTGGGTGTGAGGGGCCTGCTGATAGTCCTGATGCTGAGCAGGTGTCCTGAACTGTTCCGGGGTGTCTGGAATGTGCTGTGCTTGAAACAAGGAATAAAGATGCCAAGTTCAGCCTATAGCACAGCCTGGGATTTGAGGACTCACTTTTCCAGTAGGGGCCCTGACCTAGCACTATGCTTTGATGCCAGGACCCGTGTTGGGCCCATTAGCTCTGTGAACTCAGTGACACCCATGAGGCCTTGGGAGAGGAACGAACACTTGAAAGGTGGTGTAGCAGGACTCTCTGCACTGCTGGGGGACAGGAGCTGGTACAGTGTCAGGGTCCAGGCCAGCCCCTTGGGCTTTGTGAAAGGTCTGCTAGTGGGCACTACAGGATCTGGCCATTCCTCCCAACCTTGGAACTCCCTGGGCATACACACACACCCTGCCCCTCTCCGCATCACTGAAACAGCCCTGATGAACCCCGGCTTCTTAGGAGTCCTTGAGGCCCCCATGCCTCTCTGGGTACCCATGTCTGCACCCCCACATTTGGGATCCTCCCACAGAAGCACTTGGCTTTCTGCCATCTCTTGCTGCTTGCTGCCTGGGCATGGGCTGTGGTCCTGCCCTCATGGATGGGCTGGTGATTTCTTACTCCTTCACCCTGTGACCAAGTGGGCCAAGCTGAGGGTGGGCCACAGGCCTAGACTCGGTGGGGCCCACGTGGTCTACAGAACAGAGACTGACCCACAGATGAGACCTGGCCTGCTGGCTCTGCTGTTGTTTGTGAAGGGCCAGAGGTAACCCTGGGGCAGCCAGACCCTGGCCAGGGCAGCCTTGTTGGGAGGGGAGAGTCCTAAGGTGTCTGAGTGATGTGGATTACAGAAAGGACGATGGGTAGAGGGCTTGTGTGCAAGTTGATTGAGCTGAGCAGACCGACTCCCTTTAGGACATGGGGCCGAGCTGCAGAAAGGCCATCTCAGGCTGCTCAGAGTCAAGCCTCCAGTGCCGCCCACCCTGGGCTGCAGCTGTGTGCCAGTCCCTCGCCCCAGCAGGTCTGCTCTCAGCCTGGGGTTCAGGGGAGCTTCCTTGAGGCAGGCAACTGAGGTGTACCCTTCCCTCGGGCCTCTGCTGCCCACACAGGCTGCCCTCTCATCCCCAGCTCTGGACTCCCTCCAGGGAAGCACTGAGCCCCAGAGGGCCATTTGCTCAGATCTGCCCTATTCAGCTTGGAGGCCTCTTCAGACCCATCCTGCAGCCCCTGGTTGGGAGGTCCTCAGCAAGAGATGGCAGAGTGAGTCCAGGCCACTGGCAATTAAGGCTGATTAGAAAGTCTCCCATCAAAGGAAAGTCCAGAACTAGGTGGCTTCACCGCTGAATTCTACCAAAAAGAACTAACACTAACACCAATCCTCAAACTCTTCCAAAAAGTCAAAGAAGAGGGAAGGCGGCTTCCAAGCTTTTTTTTTTTTTTTTTTTTTAACCAGGCCAATTTTAAATTACCCTGATACCAAAACTGGATAAGGACATTACAAGAGAATAAATCACAAGCCAGTATCCTTGATGAGCAAAAATGCAAAAATCCTCAACAAAATACAAGCAAGACAAATGCACAGCACATTCAAAGGCTCGTGATCAAGCAGGATCTCTTCCTGGGATGTGAGGCTGATCCACCACAGGCATGTCAGTGAATATGCACCCCACTGATCAATGGACATGTCATTTGACGAAATTCACTATATGATGAAAAATTGATCAAAGTACATTCTATTGAATGAATGTACCTCAGCGCAGCAAAGGCCCTGGGAGACGCCCACAGCCAAAAGTGTGCTCAGCGTGGAAAGTTGGAACCCTTTTCTCTGAGGCCAGGAACAGGTCAGGATGCCCACTTTGACCACTGTACTTGACATGGCACTGCAAGTTCTCTCTAGAGCAATCAAGCAAGAGAAAACTTGAAAGGCATCCACATGGGGAAGGCAGAAGTTAAATTGTCCCTGTTTGCCAACAACATGACAGGTTATACAAACTACACACACACACAGAATTAAAACTGACAAATGAATTCAGTCATAGAATACAAAATCATACTGAAAAATCAGTAACATTTTCCATACACTAACAACAAACTATTGAAAAAGAAATTAAGAAAACGATCCCATTTACACCAGCTGCAAAAATAAAATTGCAATAGATCTAACCAAAGAGGTAAAGGATCTGTTAACTGAAAACTATAAAGCATTGCTGAAAGAAATTGAAGAAGAAAAAAATAAATGGAAAGACATCCCATGTTCATGGATTGGACAAATGACAATTGTTAAGATATCCATTCCACTCAAAGTGATCTGTAGAATCAACACAATCAAAATGCCAATTTTGTTTTTCATTGAGATAGAAAAAAAATCCCAAAATTCATGCAGAACAGAAAACCCCAGGTAGTCAAGGCAGTCATGAACAAAAGAACAGAGCCGGAAAGGTCACGCTGCCTGATTCCAAACTGTACTAGAGAGCTGTTGCAGTTTAAATAGCAGGGTACCACACAACATGACACAAGAGTCCCACATCGCCTCATGGGACAGAAGGGAGAGCCCAGCAGTGAACCTGTGCACGTACACTGGTTATTGTTTTAGGGAAAATTAATCACACCCCCTAGTAAATTCTATACAAAGTGATTTAAGTATAAAATCTAAGTCCCCCCCAAAATCGTCAAAGTAGGCAACAATTATAACTGGGCATGGCAAAGGCTCTCTAAACATGATGCCAGTGGCACAAACAGTGTATAACATTGCCAATAAATATCTGTAGGTGCACTATGGGAGCAACTGCAAGGACACCAGAGAGCCTCCATAAACAGAGGTTCATGGTACGGTCTGGACAGACATTTGCAACTGAGGTGAGACCTTTGAATTCCTTAGTAGGTACAGCTATTGGAAATGAATAAAAATGGGCACAGAAAATAGGCGGTTTACAAAACAACAACAACAACAAAACAAAACCAAGTGATGAATAGCATGTTCACAATATTAACAGTTAAACGGGAAAAACACACGACAAGATGTCCAGCTCCATCAATTAGCAACTGTGAGGTCCAGGACTGTGTTTGTGATCATTTGTTATGTAGCAATAAAAATCCAATATACCCTCCTTTAGGTGTGTTTTTTTTCCCCCAAAATTTGTTGTTGCAAATATATCAGAAGAGAACATGACTCAGATTCAGCACTTTGTGGATTATCCCAAGGCACACCCCCACATAAGACATAGAACACCTCAGATCGCATAGTCCCTGCTCTTTTCCCCAAAGCACCAGCCTGACTTCCAACCACATTCAGTGTTTCCTGCCTTTAAATGTAGTGCCAGGGGAATCGCACAGCACAAGCTGTTTCATGAACACCTTTTCTGCCCAACCCTTCTTGTGACATTGTATTTTCTTTGCGATTGCTGCGAGGTTCTGCATCGTGTGAGTGTGGGATGGTTTATGCATTTTGCTGTCAGAGGACACAGGCTGTTTCTGGTTGTGGCAACTAAATAACGCTGCTCTGAACATTGGTGTGCACATCTCCTGCAGGCAGGCATGTGCCAGGGTCTGGTTACTCTTCACCCAGAAGTGGGACTGCCGAACCATGTGGAGGGACCCGCCGTACTCGGGGATGGAGACCCTCTGGCAAAGCAGTTTCTCCTGGTCAGGTTCCAACAGCAGGGTAGGATCTGGGGGCCTCTCGCCTCTCCAGCACTTGCAGTGGTTGGACTTGGTCAATCTGTGGGCAGGTTGGTTCTCCGCCCTCCTCCTGCTCAGACGCACGCCTGGCCTCTTGCAGCCACCTTGAGGCATCACCTCTCCTTCCTCCTTTCCTCTTGCTGCAGCCCAGACAGAAATCTTGCAGGACACCTTGTTATGTTAACATCAGACGCATCTCCTTCTATCATTAAAATTCCTCAAAAACATGATTTTAATGACTGCATGATATTCAGCTGCATGGATTAGCATAATTTGTTTATTCCCTTATGCATCAAGTGGATTTTTTTTTTTTACTGTTGCAAATGTGACTGTGACAAATAGCTACATTTGAATACTTTCTCTTATGGATTTTTGGAAGTGGAATTTTTCAGTCACTGCTACCAGATAACTTACCCCTGTCTCCAGCCCATAGTGGCTCACAGAGAGAGGAAGACCTACTCCTCTGGTTCACTGTGGAAAGTCTTAGTAGAAGTTTAAGAAATGATACAATAATTTAAAGATGACTTTTTAAATGACAGAAACGGTGTATTACTGCCAAGAGAAGAGAATGGTCAAAACTGAGAGAACAGGAAGTAGAAAAGAGCAAGGAAAAGTATGGTCACATAGGAAATGTTGATTACCTGTTCAAAAGAGTACGTTATATAGTTTTGAAAACCAATAAAATAGGGCATACTGTTGAAAAGAGACACAACAAAAGATTTTTGAAGGAAAAGAAATATAAGGGACTCTGACCAGAAGACAGTGTGACTGAAAACACACGCATCCTCCAAACCCCACTTGAAAAGCATCAGCCAGGACAGGGAAAGTGCTTCCGATGCTCAGAGAACCTCCCTGGCGTGGCCTGCCTAGGTGTGGCACAGCGTGCACAGGTGAGCAAACCCCCGAGCCACCAGGAAGTGCTGGCCTGTCCACAAGTGTAGCCGCATCAGGGCTTCTGCAGAAAGCGGTGGACCCCTGAGGAATAGGTTAAAAAATAAGATGATTTGATTCAAATAACGATACAGAAACAGATGCCATTGGATTGTAAAGGAAACACAAATAATGGAAAAGACTGGCCAAAGCAGAAGTTGCATTTTAGAAAAGACCAGCAGCGTAACCCTCAGGTGGGCAGGAAACTGGGCCCGTTCCTCAGGTTGGCTGCCTCTGGCGCTCAGAACCAGCACCCATCTACAGTTGGAGTCAGATTAACTATGTTTGCTGAACAACAGACAGTTCCCAAGGGGAAAAAATTAAAAAGAGGAAGGCAAAACTACAGATAATGCAGAGATCATAAAAACCAAAGCAGCAAGAAAACAAGAAGTAGCCAAGGACTGGGAGGAAATAACTGCAAAAGGCTTGAGCAATAGAGAACCGCTACGTAAACGATACCAAGAACGTTCAATCCCAACAGTAAGAAAATGAGAA